GTCTCCATAAAAACATTTCATGCTTGCTACTTGCATGCGTGTCAGAAAAGTCTGAAGGGAACTGTAACTTTGTCCCGAAGTGGATGTCACTGTGCAAGCGGTCCTAGGTTGTTTCCACCTTCAGTACTTTCCCCATTGATCCCCTGACGTTGCTATAAGCACGAATTGGAAATGGGTGAAAGTGGGAAAGGATCTGACTGTTGTCTTCGGTAAGAGGAATGCTCCCGCACCTGGGTTCCAACCATGGATCCTCACTCCTCACACGGCTGGAGTCACTTAGTTTTCTGAGGTCTCAAGCAGTTCAGTTCCTGAAGGAAAAGTGGCATTAGAGGTTACGCCACATAAGGTGCCCTGGCCTCTGATCTGTCCACTGAAGGGACAACCCCTTACATAAGGGGTTCTGAAGCTTTCCATTTATCTCCTTGCCGAATGTATACTGGTCTGGTTGCATACAGCCAAATAGTGCCTTCTGCACAGTATTTTATTTTTCACCAGGCGTGCAGAATGTCTGCAAAAGACGCACGTGAGCCGAATGGATTTGTGGGCAATAAGATTGTGGGGATGACTTTATCCAAGCTGATCCAAGAGGTCTGCTGACGTTGCTCACCAGTAGACTGGCGCAGGAAACCTAGCCTACAGTTAAATTCCACTGATTACATTCACGGGATTGCCTCCCGAAGGGTGGCTGCTGAACAGTTCTTGAATGCTTTGAACAACCGTCGCATCACTCGGCATTAACCAACCATTCACACTACTATTCAACACCAAATTCGTCATGTGGTCGGTAATTTTTGTTTCATTCACTATTGTTCTATGTGTATTCGTGACAGTTATGTCTCGCATGCTTTAGTTTAGTTTTGCTTACTTACTGCAACCCTCTTCAACAAAAAACAGTCAACTCACCATTCTCTTTCCTTCTGATAACGAGCTTGCTGTCCTATGGTCACACTGTGGTGCAAATCATTTTTGGTGGTACATCAGGCTACACTGTGGAGTGGTTGAAAATACAATGGTTAAATGTGTTGCCTGACGTGTGAAACATACCAAGAGATGGTGGGGTCAGTAACGTACGCACTGTCTTGGCGATCTGTTAGTAAGCTGAGAAGATTTTTTAGCCGTCAAATGTATCGAATGCAACGCAAAAATATTTGAAAACCCAAGGTTAAAAGATGGGAAGACAGTGATGTTCAACGGCTTTCGTGCTTATGACGGTTTCTGAATGCAAAGCAGAACATATAACAGAACAACGGAGGGGTAAAGTTGATCTAAAATTTCACGTAATTAACTACCCAGTATAAATTCAAAAAAAGAAAACGAACAAGTGCATTAAAAAACCAATAAGCCTAACTGATCTGTTCGCCAGAAGTCGACATCACTAAAGATAATGAATCAAGAAGGCGGACGACGGAGCCAGCATCAGGGAACTAGCACGATGCGGAAAAGTTTGTCGAAAGAAAAGTTAAGCAACTCTTGGGGCGTTATTGTATTACGAGAAAAGCGGCGAGTGCAAACACGATAAAAACATGGGCCACTAAGGCGGAGAAAAATCGCAGTTGAACGGGTAAAAGTGGATTACCAAGACTGCAGGCAACATATTGACCAGATATGTCAGATAGGGACTGTTTCCCAGACCACGGTGTATTTTAGGTGCCTGAAAATGAACCATGGATGTTCGACGAAAACCCGCAGGGTACTCCCATTTTACGGGAGAAAAGGTCATGTTGAGCACGTAAACGTGAGTCGAGAATTATAATAATGGTGGATCGTGGCTAGCAGTGGAATCTAGGATGCGCATTTCGTCCTCTTCAGCTGGATGTACCTGCCGAGTCAAGAATAATGCATCTGATCAGACGGTCCATAGCTGCTACTACTAGCCCTACACATTGCTGTAAGTTTCTGACTCCAAGGGAATTACATTATGAAGGTGTACATACGTCGCTTCGAAGGTGTGAATGGTAATTTATGTTCTTTGGCGACTTATTTCAAAGTGGTAAGAGTAGTTATCAATGACTGAAGATGGCCTCATAGATTTCACTGTCTTCTCGGATAATCTAATGACAAAGGGGTATATTCTGAGATGCGTGAGTGTCACAAACGAACTACCTCTTAGCTCAGTCAGCACAGTCGATAAACACCCACTTGCTTACACAGCCACGAGATAATCGTAAATTTTCTCACGGAAGATCCTGAACCCAGTTTACTAACGCTCTGAAACTGGGAGAAGTTTGGACCACGATGGCGACAGGTCTTTAGGCATTCTGTCTAGTGTTACGGTTACCTTAAGACATTTCGCAAAGAAGGTGGGTGTTTTGTTTGTAATGGCCAAGAGCAACTTCATGAGTACTCAGGTTTTCTCGGAGCACCTTAGCCGAAGGGAGAAGAAATTGTGAATAGGATGCCTTTGTATTTGTTTGCTTTGGGATGGGACGTATAAAAAAATTGTAATTTGGGAAATCCAGATACCGCTACTCATTCGTATACAAGACAACAGTTTTTGTTACCGATAGCGACATGTTAAATGATTTCCCCCGCTCTATTCGATAAAAGTTTATAAATAGCTTCCCACTCTCTGGGCTGCTAACCATGGTGCCCAGATTTTAAGAGTATAAGAGTATTGGTGGGGGAATGGGCTGAAGTGCCTCTGTGGTATTCCAAAAGCATGGGTCAACTTAACTACTTCTGGGAGTGTTTTCTTCACTTTGGGCATACAATCCCAGTTTCATGCCAGATTAGTCGACTTCGTGTATCACAGCTACGTGGTATTGTTTACAAGGTGACGTTTCGAGCAGGATTTCTTGCTCATAACCATATCAAGGCAGATACGGAACCCACTGGTCTAGTATTTGTGATGCTACTGTTTTCCCATCTTTAGCTCAGCTGGTATTTAATTTTTTCACATCCGAAGTCACTGCTGCGTTAATCAAGTTACGCAAGCTATTCACTTAGTTGGTGAGCAAAGATTCAGAGGACAACTTCCCTTCCCATTTAATTACATGAGTTTCCAGGACTGCAAATCTTTATGGTCTAAGCTGTTTCTCCGGGTTAGCGTAGTCCCGGATATAACCTCGTTAGCCTCTCGCCGTACTGAAGATGTCGACAATTCAAGTCCAGCCCTAGATTATATTGTGAACCTCAGTCCTGGTGTGATAGTTGATGTATGATCCAACCCGCCTACTAGGTCACCAAGAACTAAAGAGGGTTATCCTCACCGCTGTCACGGTGAATACATGTGTCAGATTAGGGCAAACACAAGGAGAGTTTATCAAGTTTCAGAGTGATGGTACATCACTAATATTTGCCAAGTATCACAGGCTATATTGAAGACACCTCAAGAAACCACTTGCGCATGCTAGCACCAAAGCCTAAGTCACCGTTCTTTTTCACACACTGGAGAGTGAACAGTTAGCGGCCTACAAATGGTGAGATTTTATCTTTTTTGACAGCACTTTTGCATCTTCATCGATTACTTACCCGACGGTTATCGACCTTCTAACATCAGACCAACTGCTTCAGTATCAATTAGGACACGCAGGGTTTTGACTAACATTTTCACTGTTTTCGGGATTCGGATTCCCACCTGAAGTATTTTCGCTTGAAGCTAATGCTTCGTATAAGCTAGCCTTGATGAGCTGTTAATGATTCCCTATCTATTTTTCGGATTTACTTCCGAACCTGGCGATGGTAACTTCCAATATTTAGCGTTACACGCTTCTCCAGAATCAATAGCCTAAAGTTTGGCGAGATTCGACATCTGTACTGACCCTGATAGTTTAACTGGTTTCGCTAAGCTGAAGGCATTCGGTTAAGCATCCTCACCATTTGGCAAGCTGTCATGTTACGTTGCACTACTCGTTATCGACCCTCGAGCCAGTTAGTTGGAAGGCATCGGTTTCCTGGCACGACCTCGCAAAAATACCATCCCATCCTACTACGCTATTGTGTTCTTTCTTGGTCTCGTATTCCTGGGTATATAACAAGCTCGAATAGTTAGTGGTTGGCCTCTGCGTCTGTCAAGTTCGCACCAGGACAATTCCTAAAATATCAACGATTTGAGAAACCTGGCTTCCACAGAAGTATTATAAGAGTAAGCAGTGGTATGGGCTGCATGGTCTAGTATCCTCAGTACTGACGACTGAACCGAATAACCACACTATCTTTGGTATAGACGCAGCACCAATCACGTCGTCAAATTAAAAGAAAAGAAAACATTGAGAGGTTTCAAAAACTGCAGGATCAACTAAGTACAGAGGTGTTTCTGAAGTAACTTAAGTCACAATAAGCAGTGATTAGAAGGTCGCCACACAACTCCTATTAGTCGTAGCTTGGAGTTTTGGGACCGTTAGCACAGTCCGCTGAACGTGCACAAAAATAAGTGGTGATATGTTCGGGATCTTTTACACAAATTTAGTTAGGTCCAAACTAGGAAACTGCAAATAGGCCGCGAATCTTTGTCTGAAAGATGACCCAAACCTTCTGGGAAGAGTTCAGAGGGTAGCCATATGTATGATGCCCATGAAGACTGGCTTCGGTAACTGAACGCCTTCTGTCTATCCTGTTGCAGACAAGGGAAATCTAATCAGATTACATATGATTCCACGAAATGATTTTGGACATGATGTATCTTTTCTTTCCCTTCCCATTAGATCGATAGACCCCGGGTGGCATAGCGAAAGAATGCAAAATCAAAGAACGAACGTAGTCTCGGGAGAGTACTGGTTCTTGTACCTAATAATCAACTCTTAGAACGGACCCCTAAAAAAGTGGCCTTTCTCATCAACTGACTCGTTCACAAGAGGGCTAAATAAGCACACAGATGCACTGAAAAAGGATTAATATTGTTTTCCAAGCAACAAATCTGAATCCGAAACTACTTTGTTTTAGTCTTCTGGTACACACAATCGCGGAAATTTTGGGGTTGTGGAAACGTGCGTTGTGTTATCAAAATGTTTATTGCTTCGTCTTATGTTTAGGATAAATACGTTTTGTTTTCGTCGCGAAAAATGCTGGCCACTGAAATGGATTTGGACAGTGCTGTTCAGCAAGTGTTGAAGAATGCTGCGAAGTGTCGTGGAATATCCCGTGGACTGAACGAGTGCACGAAGCTAATTGAGCAACGAGGTGTAGTTCTTTGCTTTTTGGCAGAGAATTGTAATGAAAAGGCCTACACAACTCTTATTGAAGCTCTCTGTCACGAACATGGCATCCCGTTGGTGAAGGTAGGATGGGTTACTTCCTAAATTATGAAATATAGGTACCCGATAACAAAAAACTTGGTGAATGGTCAGGATTATGCAAGTATGACAAAGAAGGAAAAGCCAGAAAAGTGGTTTCAGCTTCCTGCATAGTGGTCACTGATATTGGAGAGGAATCCTACGGACTAAAGTATCTAGTTGAAAAGTTCAGACTCCCAATTCAGACAAGAGAGGCGTAGTGTACAATTTTCTGGTAATGATCTTATAAAACAAATCCAGTCGACTTTGTTCTGTGTGTTCTCCTTGTACGCTGTCTGGATTGTCTCACTTTTTGTTGAATAACAGTGCCGCCATCGATACAGCCTCTAAACTTCGTGAGGTGGTGGACAATCCTAAAGCCACGAGAAGCTCTGTTATGTTGAGTTATGGATCGTCGATCTGAAAAGTTGGTTGTTGTTAGCCGGGTAGTGAATTTGAATCCCATATCATCTAACGTGATTCGGGCAAACAGGTTGTATTATTGACCTTCATAGCGTGTAGCTCGTGTACCTACTCATGTTTGTACGCGCAGTCTATTTGTTCCAAATACTTTTTCGTTGGCTCCATTACTGCATTTAGGTGAATATCTCCCGTAATCCTATAGTAAGTCCCAGTGGCTGCATTTCTGTGGAGGATAGACGTTTGCTCTCTTGAAAGGCATCCACAATATATTTGAAAACTGACCCAATCGTATACTTTTGAAGATCATATAAACCTATTGGTTTACAATTGCTAAGTCTAGGGAATGATCGTAGCTTACGGGCTTTAGGTTAGTGTCTTACTAACTATGATCACGCCTTTCACAATAGATGAGTGAGGACACGTTTGGGTGTACGTCCAGTCAAGTTATATGAATCCGTTTATACCATATTCATACCGCGCAGATCATGACATCTCGAATGTATATCTCATGGCCAATTACCTCATCTTCCAGATATCTATGATACTTGTCCAGGGTAATTTTCTGATAACCGTTACGGTGATCAGAGGTAAGCAATTCATGGAAGAGTTCTTATGAGCTATTTGTCACTAACTGAACTCAAGAAATGCCGGGAATCCAGTGATAAGAATCACATGAGTGGAAAAGATTTATGTTCCACATGCATTGATGTTTACTACTTATTGTCCCACCAAATTTTCTATCTATCTTTTCGTTTTACAGCTGGTGGGGAATGTGGTAACCTATTTTTCTTCTATCATGTGTCTTTCATATGATCGACCTCACTTTACTCTGAGACTGGATATATCGTTTCTCGAATGGTAAGCAATGATCCATTACTTATTTGTGTACAGGTATTTTCAAATCAGTTTCGTACGACTCAGCAGTAATGAGGTTAAGTGCTGAGTCCTTGATTGGGAAGGCAAATCAGTCGGTGAAGTATAACCCAGTTGTCTATGCTAGGCCGTCACCCACCACTGTCTTGGTGGGGAAAAGGTGGAATAAATTGGGAATATTGGAACTGACATTGATACATAGGATGTTTAACATAGTGTCGATTCGGAGGATCTACTGGGAATGTATTCCGGGAGAAATTAAAAATAAGGCACGGAGATCTGTCGAAAAATGTTGTAAGGTGGTGTCATGTACTCTTTCAAGTCTTAGAATACTGGGAGTCTGGCAAGACGAAAGTCTCGATAACGGGGAAATAATTCTATAAACTTCGAAAATGAGACTGCCTTGCACATATTACGAGAAATGTTCAGATGTACATTTAACATTATTGACCATAGTAAGAGTGGAGTTGTGGCTCATTGGCTTAGGGAGATTACTTTCAACCGATGAATCATGGGTTCTAACACCGTCCCACCTACCGAGGTTTGGGCAGCAAAGTGTTATCAATAACCTTCACAAAATTGCTGTTAGTCACTGCTTCCTGCACCAATCTGCACAAGTTTTTTTGAGCGTGTTTCAATTTTTTGGTTGATAAACTGATTCAGATTGTCAAACAACCTCGTAACAGCCTACTTGGTTTTTCTAAGTGTAAGGTGTCCTGAGTTACTTCCAGGTTATAATTTATGAGCTGTGGCAACTCGGACCGTTACGCAGTAATGCCTGGTCCTGTGTTGATATTGATTGGTTTATTACAATTTATGAAGTTGCTGTTTGCGATCTCGAGGCAAAAACACTATTTGACCGGATATACAGTTTAAGTCAATGTGTGGACAGATGATATAGCTCAATATCTGTTGTAGCGGCAACGATGATTGCATGCAGTATTTAGGTTTAAAGAGTCGTTCATTTCCTCTATTCTGTTGTGGAGTTTGTCCTATCATTGCTCATGTAGTCAACTTTATCTTCACTATATTGGATTTCGTCTATGCTGATCAGCGGTGTGGTAACTAGGACGTATAAACCATTTTTATGAACTCAATTTCTCCCACTTATCTACCTATACTGTTCGCATTTTCTTTCCCAATGAGAACCTTTTGAAAACTAGAATTTTTCAGTAAGCTCTACTGTTAAAGATTTTAGTAAATGTTTTTGGAATTTAATTGAGTGAGGATCGAAAGCAACATGTAAACTTAACAGATATATTTTGTGATAGCTAACAAGGTGTTTCATGGTAGTTTGCTAATCGTTGTTCCAGAACTGGTCTGCTTTTGTGTTCCTTTTATTCATTTGGAAAGTGAGGTAATCTCTGGTAAGCCGGTGAATGGATATAAGGCGATGACGTGGCTTTTGCCAACATAATCCAGTTTTGGCGTCACTGTGATATACGATTGCCCATTAAGGACTGAGCGAACTGCGCTGTAAATTAATATCCCCAACTATATATGACTATGAAACATTGCAATCAAGGATAAAAAACTTAAGGTTTCCAACAATCATTGACTTTTCAGCATAGGCCGTGTGTAGTAGTGCCACAATGATGGTGGCTTGGACATGTGTTACGCATGTCTAGTCACCGTCTGCGCCGTCGCAGTGTTGGCTGAAATAGGTTTAAGCTGTAAGTTTATTGGAGACCAGACTAAAACATGGCATTAGTTCATGAAGTCGGACTGTTGGTTTGATCTCTAGGGAAAGTGCAGGCTCCCAACCGGATGCCCGTGTGAAACCGAAGTCGATGGTCTGAGGCTCTAAATGGTACGGTGGAGAATCAGTCTCTGGTGCAGATGTATCCACATATCCTAATCTCCATTGTCATACCAAGCTTCATTACTTTTTCATCCCCTGTTTTCTCTCATGACTTCCTGCGTTTTTTGACAAGTTTCCTCTTTCCATATTTTTCATCTTAGTGCATTCTCATTTGATGTGAGCTGTGGCAACTTAGTTGCGAAGTAATACCATGCACCACGTTGACACTCACTGATTGAATAATCTAAACACATCTGAATGAAGTGATAGTATTGTCTTACTCTTACTGGTAAATTATTATCCCATCATTCTGTCACTTTTATGATAGTTTAAGCTTGCCGATTGCTTATATTAGATCAACTTCCAGTTCTGTGGCGAATATTAAAAACGAACGATCTTTGTGGTGGGTTTTACGACAATCATTTCTCAAATGTTAGTATTTTAATATTTGTGGAAATTCCGAGACCTGAGACTGCAACTCCTACGTTTCAAGAAAGTAGTACACGAATCAGTAAAGCAGACACTAGTATTCAGTGCAAACATTACTGACCATTGCGAAATTCACGGACCAATCCTATCCTGATAGTTATCTATTCATGCGGGTAGTGCGTATAACATACAATTAATCTTCTAAAACGAGTCTTGCAAGAATGAATTCTTGCGAGCCCGATCTCATTGAGGACTGGCAAGAAGGAATCTTCAAGTAAAGCGAATAGCCTTTATCTAGTGAAATGGCACCATCCACTGTGTTGTCAGAATTAGGTCTCAGCTAGTTGCGATTGAAGTAAAAGGTTACAGTAAAACAGCCAACCAGTCGCAAAAATACTAGGATTACAACTCAGAAATGCAACTTTTAATACGTTGGATAAAGTGTTTGTTTTATATCAACAAGATGAAAAAACCAGACGTAAGCGAAAGATTAAGTCAGGATAAAAGTCTGTGCTTTTACTGTAGCAAAGCTAGGAGCATTATGGGAGTCATGCATCACGCGTTCCCATACCAGTCACTTTGTTACCCGAAGCTAACAAGTGTAAAACTTGGAGACACCAAGCTGAAGACACCATCGTTCAGTTTATAAGTGCAGTAAAGTAATCACCTTTTTTTATTAACGAGCTTTGTGATGCAAACCAACTAGAAAAGAAGAAAGGTTAATCTGCTGTTAGTAATTAGTGAAGCGTAGCACTTGTGTTTAGATGTGGTATGTGATTCTTGTCAGAAGAACGAGAAACAACTCATTCGATATTCTTTACGTGTTAAGACAAGCGTGTTTGATAAGGGAGTGTTAGTTACTAGCTTAAATTATTATTATTATTTGTTCCTTGGGTTCCTAATGGGAACATAGGGCTTCAGTAGCACGTCTCCAGTGCTCTCTGTTCTCTGAAATCTTATGAATCTGCCTCCACGACAGCAGAGGTATAGTGCGAAGACGTCCACGCAGCATACTGGGAAACTTTTGTTTGAACGGGCTTCGGTATAATCATACAAGATGAACTATGACGATACTTTCTCTCTTTTGCCCCTTGCATTATAGCCTCTTTTATCATGTATCCTAGACGAAATATGCAAAGGAGGAGATTACTAGTTCACACCGAGCTATACGGTGGAATTTGTAACCATAGTGTACAGTCAGAAGGCTATTTCTAGACCATGTTAGCATTTCGCTGTCATCCTGTAGGTTTCAGATGCTCCTAGAAGGTCCCAGTTAACTCAAGTATTATATCGCACATTTCAAAAGTGGCTAAAACAAGTCACTTAAGTTTTGTTGACTGATGTTATTCAGCGGAGAAACAAGCATATAAGTTAGAGTAATGTGAGAAAGCTGCCTAAAGATGTAGTCTGAGTATGATAACCAATGGATTGGATGGAAGCGAGGGTCACCGTCTTCCAAGAAAAACCCGAGAACTGTTATTTCGCTTTTCTCGATTGACAAATCGACTTTAGTCTCTGTTGGATGGTGAAGTTGATACACAAATTCCATCTTTATACCGAATTGTTGTGCTTTTTGTTACTAGTAGTTAATAGCAATATACAACGCATGTCGTTTTTTGAACTACTCACCAAATTGATATTCATGTGCATCCAATGAATGTCGATGTTCCTGTTAAAGCCATTGGTTGGTCACCG